GCGGCGCATTCAGACAGATCTGTTGGGTTTCCGCAGTTTTACTACAGTTTGTTTGAGAAATATAAATTCTGTCGCGCGCGCGCGCGAAAGGCTATTTGGTATTATCGATGACATTCAGAGAGATGAAACGTCACCGGTCGTGCTCAAATCATCCCCGTAATAATAATTTACAATCTCACTGCTCGCAAATGGATTTTGTAATAAAACAAAATGTAGTTTTTATAGATATGAAGGTATCGCCACAAAAATGAGATGAAACGAGGCGAAAGATGGAAATTAACATTGTATACGGTAGCAAAACTGCTGTTACTCCTTTCTTTTCCTCATCTCTTTTTACGCTAACTTTTTGTCAGTATCTATTATCTCTCGGTCGGTTTAAGCTCTACGTGGATTTCTTCTCCGTTCTTCCTGTTCTTAAATTTCTGAGTACAATCCTATTTTTAAGCGGCGTGCGACATCTATACGTACTTAAAACGAACGGCAAGGAAGCTTGACTTCGGAGTGGGAGATGGTACTTCGGGGTAGGGTAGCAAAGCAGTTTAGTTCAGGAGTGGCCGTTGGGGAACGATCTGACGGCGCCAGGGGAGGCATAGCTCCTTCCCATGTGGCACCCCCGACATGCTCTACCCTCATAATTCTACCAAGCCTTCCTCCGAGAGGCGCCACCTCCGGTTTCTCTTAGGCGTCGTAACTGTGAGAACGAAGGAGAATGTCGTCCGCGGAAAATCCCCTTCTTCCTCGCCGAATGATCGGAGAGAACCTCTTCTCTCTTTCTCCCGACTCTCAAACGCTAACCACCGCATGATTTTCCGGCGACATAGTTGCAACTCCTCAACTCGCAAATCCGCACCGAGTGGTTGTGGACCGAAATGTAACTTTATCACGCGCAACTACTGAACGCAACTTGTGTCAAGATTTACGCTGCGGGAAACACAGCCGCGATTGCGAATGTTTTATTGCTAAGCATACGTGGTGTTGGAAAAAAAAAGTCAATTGTGTGACAGTTTGCATATTGTTATGTTGGTTGCAGAAATGATTCTGCAATTTACATATGAAATTTAAATACGTTGAGTTTGGTTGAAAATGTTTAAATACAAAAAACAAAAAAACTAAGATGGCGAAATCTGTGTTGAAATTGTCGGAGAGCGCGCGCATCGTTTCGAGCCGCAAGATCGCAACAGAAATCGCCACGGGGAAAGAGTACAGAAGAAAAGGCGCACTCAATGATTAGATGAAGTGCCGGAAAGGGGAAAGAGAAGAAAAGAGGAAAAGACAAAGAGAAGAGAGAAAAGAACAAGAGCGGAGAATCGAGCACGAAGGGAGAAACATTGTAGCGTCAGGAAAATGTTGGGGTTACGTCGTACGAACTTCGTTCTCATCCACTCGCTTCTCTATTTTTCCGGCAACCTCTGCCCATAAAAGGCTCTCTCTCTCAGACTGCCCTTAGCGGTGCTCCTTGTTTTCGTGCGATCGATACGGTTTCTCCCTTTCAAAAATAATGCTTTTTTTTTGTTACAAGATCAAATGTTTTTTCTTGTGAACAGAGTCTCTTTCTTTCTCTTTCTTTCTTTCTTTCTTTCTTATTTGAAAGAAATCTTCAAAAAATAATACTCGACTCTCAAAACCGGCTAAACTTAGTTGCTTTTTTATCTTACACAAATATTTTTCAATTTTTCCACAATACTACAGTAAAACAATAGTATAATTGCAATCGACTTACGCAAAGTAAAAAACAACGCAACCACTCCATTAGTTTTCGACGAGTTACCTCACTTTCCGTCAGTGGCATAGAAAATTACCGACCGGTTGCTGATATTTAGCAATGCATCGATAACGAGCGTGCTCATAGAGAATTACATTAATTAGGCCGCCGAGAAGCACCAGGCGCGTAATGAATTTTAACGCAAAAGCGTGCTCTCTCTCATTCGGCCGTTCTTCAAAGCGCGCCGTGTTGTCGCAACGTGGTTCGCGCCATCTGTATTGCGATATAATCTGCACCTGTTGTAGCAAAAGAACTGCCTCCTTTCTTCGGATACCGTTGCATTTATTAGATCGTCGATTACGCTCATTATGCCGCGCGAGTGAATTTCGTTACGTGCTGCTTTGCGGAAGCCACGCGCCTGATTTTCATCATTCACGAAATGCCTCTCGCGTTTCACCGCGGAAAAATAATAACGCATCGCTGGTTATAATAGCGAGCGAGCACGGCAATATCTTCATCAGAATGTCGTAACACCTATAGAAATGTGTCTCGATAGAAATTATTATTTTTTTTTGTGCAGATTCTCTCGTATTTTGTCTGCGTGTAACTTGTTTTATCGAAACTATATTTCGTTTATATTTTTCTTTATATTGAAACTTTTTGTCAAAGTTTTGATAAGATCTTAATCTGATCTCTGTATTAATGCGATGCGAGATTAGGCAAATATACAAAATTAATTAGATAGCCGTTATCGAAAATCATGACAGCTATTAGTTAGTCCAGGTGTGAAGCTCCCATGTGTGTGGGGAGCGACGCCCGATAACTCGTCGGTTTAGGATCGTTGGTGCCCCGGCCACCCTAGAGTCTAACCTTGATAAGGATCGCTGCTAATTGTTGCGAATTGGTGAAAGTGGCGAACGAACGAGGGAGGTTGGGCAACAGGTGTCATCTGATTGATCGCCGTTGCTCGCACCCCCACGATTACCTAGCCCACAAACACATCCGCAAGCAGAAACGAAGGACTTAATGTCGATCCATTACGTACTGGCCCATCCCAACGAGAAATCGTTGACCTGACACGCTCCGAAGTGCATTACGAGGCGAAAAAGGACAATTGCCGAAAAAGAGCGACACGTCTACTACAATTTCACGACTCCTGCGTATTGGATGTCGCACTTTGCTTTATTTCTGCAAAATAATCAACTGTGCGCACTATTTTCGATTAGATTATCCGATAGTTTGTACGTGTTTTAGTAACGTTTATAATTTTTGAAAAAAAAACGAGAAGAAATTTAATTGGCTGTTAAACCTGAAAATTCCCCGAGTTGTTATAAAATAAAAATTTACTTGTACTATCGATTATTTGTTCGAGAAATGGCTGCAGATTATTTGTGCTCCATACGTTACGTTACATAGAAATTGTTGCGAGTTACAAACCGCGCTTTGGAAATGTGAGCTCGGCTCGTTATCACGCGTGTTTCGACACGGGATTCGTACGCCCTGCAGGAACGGCGAAGAAACTCGGGTCATTATCGAAGCGAAGAATGTTAAATCATCCAAGACCAAAAGATCCTAATTGTCGAGCCGCGGCGTGGATTTTGTTCGCTCAAGATTAGCAGCGGTGCCGCCGAGAGAATATTCGCTGGGATAATTGATACCGACGTCGAGAGAACGGCTGATCATTGAAACTGCACGCGCAATATATCATGGATAATAAGCAACCGGTGCGCACACGCCCGACTCGGGGGTGGAAGAAGGAGGGAGTCGGAGATGGCCACTTCGTTATAGCATCCGTGACGCGGTGACTCTTCTCGATGCGATTACGATACGATGCGGCCGAGTTTCGCAAAGTCATGAAGGTAGCGGATGATGGCCCCTTCGTCCAGGAACAATAGCGAAACTGCTTGCGTCTCTTTGTCATGTGTGACAACGAGCACGCTTGTGCGTGTATCATGCACGCTCGCGGTAGGTGAGGCGGAGATAGGTGAGTCTTGGGAGAAGAGTAGGTACATCGAGGAGTTTCCGAGGAGAATAATCGTGCGCGAAGTGACTCGCGTAATCGTAATTAATCATCATGTAACCCGTGACTCGCGGATCGGTATCGCATAGGGCGGCTCCGCCAGTTATCGCTACCTAGAGAGTCAAACGGACGTTCGGGCTCGCGTTTTCTAAACGGCGATGTCGGGATTTATGATCGGCCGTGATAGAATTGGAATGAACAATCGTTACCTACGTCGAGGCAGCTCGTTTTCTGCTTCTTCCGCATTGAACGTAATAGGCACTCATCGAGGAAGCGAAGAGATCATTTTCAAGAAGAAATGTTTTTGCGATAGACATTGTATATGTTCTCTTGCAAGAGAGTGATTCCTTCTCTGAAAAGCTGCGATACACGCACAGTCAAAAACTCGTTAACTTTCGAAAAAAAACCTCTGTGCGATTGAAATTATTACTTACATTTTCTCTGTTCAGAAAATTTACTATTCCGCGTTGAAATTTGAGCGAAGCAAAATTCAAATGAATTTATTTTCAATCAATTTGGTACTACTAGAAACCTACTGCGTTAAAGCGCGATTACTTTATTAAAAAAAAAAAAGCAGTTACGCTCTCACACATGTAATCGAATTAGTAATCCATCGGTAATCGGCCTTCACCTACATCTAATGCAAAATTATTGTTAGGTCATGTAGCCGGATGAATAAGCGACCTTCTCTCTTGTATATTATTTTTAGTCGATCTTACATTTTTGCAAACGGAGTAAAGAATATAATTAAAAAAAAATAAGGCGTGACGAATATTTAACACATATTCTTTCGAACGTTCATGTATTTAAAAGGGCGGTTCACGCAAATTAACAATCGTATACAATCCACAACTAATCGTTCGATATCTTGATCTTCGTTTATCGCCGCTCGAAACCGTTGAGCGCGCGTTCGAGAGGAAGATCTTGCCTCACAACAATGCGAGTCTCATCATCGATCTCGAGCGCGAGAGTCGCCTCGATATAGACTTGGAATTAACAATCGGTACTTGCGTGCCACACCATTGTTGCGCTATAAAGTCAGTGTATATTAATAGATAAAGCGTGATAGAATGCGCTTGCGCGCTTTGGATTTGCCGAAAGCGTTTTCAATGAGATCGAAATCGGCTTCGCGATTTATTAGCGGCTGTAGCGTGATCTAAACGAATTTTTAACCGGGAAAAAAGAAAGAGAGAAGAAGAAGAAAGAGAAAGAGAGAAAGAGAATTTCTCGGTGAGATGGCGGTTTTGCTACACAGTGTGCCTGACCTATTGTTCGCAGAATCGTGAGGAACAAGGCGGCGGAGAAGGCGAAGCACGCGCATCAGCAACAACAGGCGCAGCAGCAGCAAGGTCAGCAGCAAGGTCAGCCAGGATCGGGCGGTTCTGTTTCTGTAATAGCACATGCACCTGCGACGGCGGCAGGTCATCCCGCCGCCACCGCTCCCAATGCCTACAGCATCAGTGGCATCCTGGGCATCCCGGCGCATCACCAGGATCCCAATGGCAACAGCATCAAGAGGAAACGCAGCGTTGACGGTGAGTCACTATCCTCCTCGAGCTCTCTCTCGTGTCGCTGACCCCGCTGCTCCTTCGGCTCGCGTTTTCTCGTACTCACTGCGCACTGTCATCGTGTAACATTATTCAGTACTGAATCCGATGCTTATTATCGACTGCGAGGAATCACGGAACGAAGCGCGCTTTACGAGAGAGAGAGAGAGAGAGAGAAAGAAACAAAAAATAAGATATTAATGTCGCGAATATGTTATAAATTGAAAATGAATAGCAATTCATTTCTTTTTTTTTATGACGTTTCAATATAGTTACAACTCCATTGTTGCTCCTTTTAAATACGAATCGTCTCGAGATGCCGGATCAAGCTGCCGCTTACGAGAATTAGCGATGCAAGAGAGTTTTAAGTATGAAATAGAATATTATTTACTTCCGTCTTTACGGCCTAGTGAATCAGCCTGAGCTGAGTAAAGTTCATCTTGAAGAGACGTAGACAATGGAGAAGTTGAACAATTTCACAAAGACTCAAATGTTGGTATTACGGTGACATTACGAAAACCGTCAGCAGTAAGTTGCGCGTGTTTATTTTGGGCGTGTGTGCGCATCATTTTCATGAATAAATTCTCATTGCCTTACTTACTCGCGAGACAAAGGCTTTTGAATTGCGTTCTATCCAGTTACGCTGTCTATTAAAACCGACACGCAAAGGCAGGAAGAAGAGACTCAATTGCAGTTTAATGAGACAGGCGTTTTATTTTAATAATAAAACCGGTAACAAAAACAAATCAAAAACAAAATCACTTTTAAATAAAAGAAAGACCTCAACAGAATTATTATATAGATATCGTAACATAAGACGAGTTCAATTGCGAAATTAAAATTTATCAGATAAGAAATTTAATTTACACAAAAATACGTGAACACGAAATTGTCTTGCGCGTAAAAGCCTGTTTAGAAATTTGTCCATCCGGACAAATATTTTTGAGTCGAGACATTTTCTACGCGCTCATTTGTGAACGATTGAGCCACTTGGAGCACTCGTTGCCCCGAGCAAACCAAGATTAGCTGCACACACAGCAAGGTTATCAGTCAAACGTCGCCGAGCACGTGTTGCGATTCATTCTGCTGTCATTGCGTGAATAACGCGGCCTGAAATATTCTTGACACGTGCCGCGTACACGTGACCGACGACGATACTTCACCGCCGCGAGAGAGAATTTTCGGCGCCGATCGATCCTCAAGAATTGCGCGCGGATTATTTTATTGCGATCGAGATATTGTAATATAAAATAATTGCGAGAGTCGCGATTCTTTCTGCAATTTCGTAAAGCAGTAAACACTTCTGTTCACTTTTGCGGAGATGACTAGAAACTAATTCGATCGTTGTGATCGTCCGCAGAATGTGAATTCCGTCGCGCGATATGTCGCAATTACGACGCGCGTTTTCGACGAGCGACGGTACGCGGCGCAGCGAGAAGAGAAAACCGCGTAAGTGCGTAAAGCTCGATCAAAATTACGGCAGCGCGCGCGTTTCGCGGCGAGATGTATCGATTCGTAGGCAGGAGCGTGATGCGGTGTGCAGTGTGCGCGATGATACACGGGTAATTCAATATAATCGGATTATGAGAGCGGCGATACGCGGCCGCAATAGCGGTCGCGTCCGCGGTGAGAGCACTCAGTGTTTTGCGAGCGCGTGCTCGTGCCGAGGGTAGGTAGGTAGGTAGGTATATATATTGGATTATAAACTTCACAGACCACAGGCGACTTCTCTTCTGGCACCGACGACACATTAGCCTCCCTATCCTCCGGGGAGATCATCGACGTGCACGTACATATATATATATATATATATTTATATATATATATACACATATATACATGTATATGTACGTACGCGTACCTCCTAACGCGTACTGTTCGGAATTCCACGAGCGAGTGTACGGCGAATTGTTCCGTGCGTTTCCTTTGTGGCTCTGCCATGTCAAACTGTAAAAATCGATCGTCAAACATCGTGCGTTAACTCGATTGTTCTAGATACACCAAAGTGCGTGATTGATTTTATTTCACCTTTTGAGTGCGATAAAAATTTGTTGCGTAACGGTAGTATTGGAAGCACTTCATTACAATCGGTTAAAACGCTTAAAAAAGAAAACCAATATAAAGTTAAGAGAGTCGTTGTCAAAAATTTTAATTCGCGCGCAAATGTACGAGCGTTTCCGCAATTTGAGATCTGTCGGTCGGGAAAACTCTCTCCGGCATAAAGCGGTACCGGTCGCCATTATTAATGCGTTCGACGAAAGAGTCAAGACATACTCGGGTCCGAATTTCCCGAAGCTTATTACGAATTTACGAACGGTCTCTCGAGGGAAGCATTGCAATCTATTGGGGCTGTTTGTTGTCGCGTTACATCTGCGCGATTCTGCGCCCCATGTAGAATCCCAGAGAGAGAGAAAGAGAGAGAGAGAGAGAGAGAGAGAGAGAGAATCCCAGCGTGTCCCACCCTATATAACCACTGGACGCAGGGGACACGCCGTGGGGGCCAGATTTGCCCCAAAGTCCATTATTACCCGTGTATTGTATTGCTTAACATTGACTCAATTGCTTTCGAATAACGCGAGAAAGAGCAAGCTCGCGCAAGCGCGTGCTTTGCCCTCTCGAGTATCAATCGAATTATTCGACTTGCTGCTCTTTCGGGGGACGCGCTGACCTTTCTTCCGCGCGACGTAATTCATTCGTTGTCAAATCTGTCGGCGACCCGCATCTGAGTTTGACTTCTCCAAGTTTGGTAAAAAAAAAAAAAAAAAAAATCGTAGGTCTTTATAAAACTGCGTCTTATCGCTGCTTGATTCAATCTCGTAATGCGCATTCAACAGCAACTTGTAAATGTATAAAATTTATGAATTGAATTTCAAACACAAGCTTTGTGCGTGTGTGCGGATGCAAGATCAACTCGAATTCTAGCGTAATAAAATCAATCCCCCGCGAAGCCCGCTCCCGTGCAATTTTACTACTTTCACTCATATATCCGAATCCCGGCTCGTGTGTAACTCCTAACAGAGCAAAGTGGAAACGGTGACATTCCTAGGAAACGTCCTAAACTCTAGTAAAACCGTAACACGGTACGCGCGTTTGTACGCGCGCGATGCAACGCGACCGCGATTAATTCGGCCGATCGAATCGTAAAATTCGAGCGGGACCGGGAACGGGAAGAGAACGTACGCGGGGCACCGCCGCCGCCGCTGTTTGAAACGAGGGTTTTATAGCGGTTCAGGAACAAACCCTGCCGCTCGAATGGTCGGGATCGTCGCTCTTGGCCAGCCGGACAATCACAACTGGACAGGGAGGTTTAACGAGCCCCATGCTAGGCGCACCCCGTCCGTCCCACCCTCGGATGGTCATTTAATTATTCTAGATACTACAGAACCATCTACCCCACCAGTGACGTTACGTCTGTCTACTATCGTTCCTCCGTTACCCCTCTTTCCATCCCATATACATAGCTCTCACCGGTCGGTTCCGTTCTCGACCTCATCCCCGGCAAGGGACTCGCGATGACCGCCACCATCCTCTCTCCCTCTTCGTCACTGGAATAACGACACTCGTCCCACGTGTCTGTTCCTATATTAAACCGCCGGGACGGCCGGGAGATAATAAAGACATATAATGGAATCGAAATTGTTTCTCTATCTATCAATGCCATACGCCGTCTATGCGCGAACCGCGCGCGTCCGGCTCACACGACAGATTCAATTTTGTTTCGCCCGGCCACGTTTAATTTGTGTCTTGATTCGTGGGTAATACGAGAGACCGCGCGCGTATCGGCGCCCGATCTGCGTGTGAGTGTGGCCGTACGTACGTGCAATAACGCTTGCTGTCTGATGCGCCATCGTTCGCGTCGCCGATCCATTTCCCTCGCGCGTTTCGAAATTATTCTCATTTACCCTCTCATGTTCTAAAATTATCAAATTCGCGATACCGCCGGAAATATCGTATTACGCGTACGTCTAATATTGAAAAACACACAGATTTGTTTGTCGCTGAATCAGAGCGTACAGTTCTGTTGCAATTCGAATTAAAACAACAAGAAAAAATTCTAGTTTCGAAAAGTGCAGTTTTTTAAAATGATTACAGATGACAATCGCGACTTGAACGACCACGCCGAGAATGATCTAAAGAGGCAGAGAAGCAACTACAACGGCGATCAGCTTTACTCGAACGTGAGTATAGAAAAAATTTGTAAAGCAGATACTCTTCGAGACACAATGAAAAAGCCTGTGATTAAAATATATTTAACTCCAAAACAACTTATTGTATATTGCGCAATCTAAGCTAACTAAGAGTGCGTATTGAAATTTTCAATCACAAACTCCAAATAGCATATTCTAATTAAAACACCTTAATCAATCAAAAGCGCGCAGAGAGTTTCATAGAATCTCTGCATAACTCTTGGGCAACCCTTGCGGTAATCGCGGGATCGAGTGGGACCGAGTTACAACATCCAAGTCAATCTTGGCGCTTGTTCTCGGATGTCCCTCCAACTCGTGAACTTCGACTTCAGGTTCCGCCGGTTCTGTGTTGCAGCTGTGGTCGAGTAAATGGAGCATCAAGGACGAGCACAAGCTCTTGAACGAGCTCGGCGGCGGCGGAGGCGGCGGTGCGACCGGCGGTACGAACGGCGGTGGAAACGGCGGCGGTGGTGGTGGTGGCGGTGGAGGCGGCAGTGGCAACGGTGGCGGAGGCGGCGGTGGNGGTGGCGGCGGCGGCGGCAGTTACTATGAACACGGTGGATTTCCCGGGAACGCTATTGCCACCTCCGCCGAGCTGTACGACTCCCTGGGCACCATCAGCACGATGACGCAAGCGCAGACGCCCCATCTTTACACTCCGCCCATAGGGGGCACCATAGGTGAGCGCGCCCGTTCTCTCACTCTCTTTCTCTCTCTTTCTCTTTTCATTCTCCAGCACCCTCTGATACTCCTTCATCCCCCCGTCAGCGTGTCCATCTTTTTCTCTCTTTCACTCGCCGTTGCTCCTCTCACACGGAAATTCAGTATGTGCACCACAATCTCTTATACGTAAAATGCCGTTTTTTATACTGAATCCTATTCCTTCACTTTTTCTTTCTCCTTCTCCTTTCGCGCTTTCCCAAGACTTTCATACATATTCTCTCTCTTTTTCTCTTTCGTTCTCTCCTATCTTTTCCCCTCTCCTCCATCCTTTCAGCCATTTCCTCTGTCTCTCTTTCTCGTCTCCTCTCAGTATACTTATTGCGGCTTACGTCTTGCTTTGCATACCCATATCGGCTAAATACATGGCTTTAATAATGCATGAACTGTGCTGAGCAGCGGCAGAAGAGGTGGCGGAAGGCTCCACGGTGGTTCAGCGTTTTCAGAGCTTTGGGAAATACCGCTCTCACTTCTCTATCAGCCGTAATATCTCTTCCTTCTTTCTCTCTTTCCTCTTTATCTTTACACTTGCGTCTTTGTTCTTAACTATTTTATTAAAATAATGTCGCTTGAGAGGATATCTCGTTCGGGAACTCTCTTTTCTCCACTTTCTCTATTCTCGCTTATATTTCCACATCACATTCTACATACATAATCACACTCTTTCACGCTGTCTTTCTTTTCATTCTTCTTCCATTCTTCATCTCGCTCTCTTTTCTTGCGCCGTTTAAAGGCGTTCGATCAGCGGCGGAACGTATATACAGATCGTATGTGTATGTGTGCGTGTATATATACATGTATGTATGTATATATATATATATATATAACGAGCTATTGAAAAGTAACCGCGCGATACACAACACACAAGCGCGGAACTTTCTCCGGCAGCACGTGTTGCGAGCAACTCGGTCACGCCGCGTCGCGTTGCTCCACGCCGCGAATTCTCCCGATCGGCGCTTTTCGGAATGGACGAAGCGAGGCGTGTAACGGCGGTTTCATCTCATGAAATTCAATTCGACGAATTCTTTATCCTAAATCGAAAGATTTTTGAAGAACTGGTTGCGATCGTACGGTTTACAGCTGTCTCATCGTTAGCGAGACAAAATCGTGAAATATCCACGAGTACACGTGCAAAGATGCGCATTTCGATATTATGAAACGTAAGCTCGCAAAGATCAATCGTGATATTAATTTTATTTTTGTCATTTTCTTTCGAACAATTTTCATAAAAAGTGTTCGTTCTTTCGTGAGAACCCGTTTCTACTTGACGAAACAATCTTTTTAACGTTCCGCCTTGATCGTCCGTCGACGATACGAAAAACCGCAATAACGGAAAAATGGGGGTACTTCCCTTAATAGCAGGTGGTACTTTGACGCCGCTCGCGCCACTGACGATGCAAGAACTAAAATTGAGCCAAACATTGGACGGGGCTAACATGTCTCCTTACCACACCACCGGTGAGTTCGCCACCTCTTTAGTTCTCTTACGGTCGCGTCGAGTCATGTACACCTGTTTTCGCTGAGCATACGGTTTTATTGAGCCTCTCTCAGATATGTGCGTGTCCAACTAATATGTCCATTTAAGTGTGTACTATTATGTCAAGTGTTCAAGATGTTAACTTGCCGCAAAAAATCAAGCGGTATTTCCTGTTCTCCCGTCTGTGAGAATCCTCTTGTATTATCCAAAATAACCACTTTTATTAACCACTGTGTTTTATATGTCCGACGAATCGTGTTGCTGAAAAATGTCCTAAATTAAAACATAAACCAAAAACATGTTGCACAGCTGTTTTACGCGCGCAAAAAGTTAATAACATTTATATAGTTTTTGAAATTTTATATTATACATTCTATTTCTACGCATTCTATTTCCACCCCAAAAAAGTCACGTTGAAAAGTCATAAAGAAGTGAAACATTGTTTTTAAAATCAATTAGTAAAATCTAATTTGGTTTTGCAAAGTATATAATTCGTAATTAAAAAGATAAGATTTTTCAAATTCCTATTTTCTTCCCGATCTTTCCCCCCACCGAAACAGTTTAATTAAGCTTTAGACGTAAGGCGCTGATCGTTAGCTAGTGCTTGACTCGAATGTCGTGTTGTGTTGTGCATGGCCATAGCAGAGAGCAGTACCGTCGCAGTATCGTATGTCGGGGTGGGGGCCGGTGGGGGCGAGCAAAGTCCTCCGATTTCGTTGCAGAACGAGACAAACGCCACCCCCGCGGCCCCCAACACTCCCGGAGGGGATCCCGGACTGACGGTCTTGCAGCCGCCAGTTTCTCAGCCCCAGGTAGCCTCTGCGATACCGCCATACTCGACGATGCTCCCAAGTTTCGGACACTACGCCACCGGTAAGTACAACCAGAAAACGCTTGCTTAACTGTTCGTTAAGGACAAGCGTGTGCTCGTGTACCCTCCAGGGGTTGAACCGAGCCCGGCGGTACGGTCGGAGGGTAAGTCAGAGCTCTATCTCAGGAGCGCTAATTTACCAGTTCGAGGCGACGAGCAACGACAAATTTTGTGCCGGAAGAACGGCCCTTATCCATTGATGACAATCGCGCGTACCAATGGAGGATATTATTCTTATAATTAATGTGTTGAATTCATATGTATCCTATAACTATGCTTCTTTTTGTTTATTTATTTTGTTTCTAAGTAATATGAGTAAATTGGTTTACTGTTGAGGTGACTATAGAATTCTCGTCATCGATTTCGGGACATTCCATTTTTGATAAACAAAAAAAAAGACAAAAAAAGAGAAGAACAAAAGCTATTCTATTTCTACAAGTACTTTGTTACTGCACAAAAAAAGTTAGTGTAAAAAGTCGGAGCAGAAGATCAAAACTCGGAAGTGTCCCGTGAATGAAATCAATCAACGCGCGGATAGTCATCTTATTGTGCTCACTTATTGTTTTGCTCAAGTTGTAAAAAAAGTTTGTTATTTTTATTCAGCATTGCAATTAAAGCAATAATAATAAATGTATGTACATGTATTAAGTCTGCTGCGAAGTCTATTTGTAATGTAAGAGCCTATTTTATTCTTCATTGCTAGTGCGTTTTTTTCGTGCGAGTGCACCTCGAAACCAGTTTCAAAGACAAACTAACGGTCTTTCCACATCCAATGTTCAATTGCAACAATGTGCAATTTTTCTTGCGCGCAACGTCAGCTGATGCAATCTGTCTTGCATCGCTTGATTGTATTATATTTACGCGATAAAAATTGCATGTTGCTGCAACGAACGTTGCACAGTGTAAAAAGGTCCCGAGACATAGCGCGTTAATTGTTGATACGCTTAAAAAAAAAAAACACACATACACAAAAATGCTAATAACGCAAAACTGCGCTAATCAGTTTATCACTGACGTTTGTTTAGGTGGCAGCGATTACGCATACAGCGCTGCGTATTCTCAGTACTCGAGTGCGCCGTATAGCGGCTACGGCTACGGGGCAGCGACAAGCGGGTTGCTCAGTAAGTAAACAGTGAGTATGAGTACCGATAGATTAGGGTCATCAAGGAAATACAAAAAGTAATAACAAAAGAACATTTCTCGGTAGCGCCTCCGATAACGACATGTCAGAAAGAGAAATACAATCAGATCGGTCGACTTATATCGCGTAACGGTCGCGCGAAAACCAACACCTTATTTTTTAAAACGGTAACGCGCGCGCGCGACTGCTATAATCGTATTTCTTATGATCTACGGCGATGCACGAAGATGTGTGCATTAACTTCGCGAAAACTTCATTCCGCTAACAGTTCCGCTCATGTGAACAGCGCACACGCGAATAATACATAATTTCTCGCGATCAAAACTAAGTACTTTGTTCCTCGTTCCTCGTTAACGCGGCTCGCAATTTGATTCGCATCAGATACAATATCGAGCTAGTTCCAAAGAAAAGGTCGTTCGTTCTCAGTCCGGTTTCTAATAATCCCAATTCAATGCCCTGTCCTTCGTAATCCACACACTATATACTCGGAGATATCGCGATATCTCCGAAAGCGCAAGTAGAAGAGAGCAATATGTACACGCGTAAGAAACGTAGAATAGAATGATAAATCTGTTTTTTTGTTTCTATCGGACACGCGATACGTTACCAACCCATATCTGCTCGCAACACGTAATGCAGATACCGCTCGCGATATCGCAACGCTCTTTCTTTCTCTCTCATGCGCCCTTATGCTCGCGCGTGCGCGCGTGTTTAGCGCTTCTTCCTTCTCGTTCTTGATATTCCACGCGACCGTTACATGAATGCTGTAATTAAACGCAAACACGAGAGATAAGTGCATCGCGGAAAACAATTTATTCCGTTTCAATAACGCGCGCAACGCACGCACACACATTGTCTGTCGACATACACGAAACAAAAACAAAGAAAACGTTGCGGCGAAAGCGTCTTGAATAACGCGCCGTTGAAATTACGCACGGAACGAGAAATTTTCAAGTACGCAACATATAAACAAGTGTTTTTATTCGTCGAACGAATCCGTGTCTCTTGCGCGATCGTAAGACGTGCGTGATAATAAGTTAATATCATCGCGAATCGACCGTCAATGTGGATGTTAAACAGGGTTTTGTATAAGTATGATGAAAAACGGGAGGAAATGCGCCAGCTTATACACTAGATGCCAGATTTCTTGCATCTCTTTCGTAAGACGTTTATAAACAGTTTAAATAGAAGTGATGTACGATTATATAAACAGTCGCCACGTAAAATTTTGTTTTATCCAATAATATCAAAGCAGAAGTAACATTTATGTTACGTTTTATCTCTGCACATAATAACTGTCTCGTAATATTTCGTGCTTTCTAGCTCAAATCTGAAATCGAATGTTTTATTGAGAATTAAATATGAACGCTGGATATTGTAAAAACTATATTTTTCATAATGAGTAAATAAGTGATACTGCAAGTGAAACCTTTAACTGTTGCATCTCCCCCCCCCTCTTACTTTATCCTATAGTAAATGAAAAAGACATCGACTTTCAATCGACGTAACAACTTTTCTTCTCGCAGACTCTACGTACTACTACTGTAACGGAGACACATCCACCCATACGTCGCAGCAGGGCGGTGGTTGCAACAGCGGTGGTCCAGAAAGCAGCGCCGACGTAGCCAGCCGTTCGCCTTTGGCGGCCACGAGAGCCAGCAGCGGTGCCAGCGCGGCCTCACCGACCGGAAGCGCCTGCACGAAGCCGGACCACACCTCCGCCACACCAACGGATCTCTATCTGGCTTGATGGTCAAACCGCGCAACAGGAGAGCGACTTCTGGACGAGGCGGTCAGCTGGGAAATAGGCAGCTGCGACAGCGGACACCATATCATGAAGAGACACCACGTCGAAATTAAGCAATGATCTCCTTTTAACTGCTTTGAATACGCGCAAGTTCAGAGCATACGGTGTATTTACGGCAGCGAGGAAAACTGATGGCACGCCGAGGAAAAAGATTCACAACGGCACGTCGAAGATTCTCCACGTGGGACGAGTAACGTCAGACGTCAAAATAGATTATTGAACAAGTCCGAAATTTAAGTTTGTGTTCGGAATTTCATCGTGTTCGATAGACAGATGAGCGACAAAACGCGATAGAACGTGTAAGTAAAGCAAACGATGATGCGTAATTAACGGCATAGCATCAATACCGGCGTACAAAAATCCTTCTCGTGTCACAACCGTTCTCCTCGATAGATGTTCTCTCTGCATTTGATTTAGGACGTCATTAAATTAAGAAATTAATTATCGATCAATTTAACTCATCAATTGACGACAGCGACGCAAGTGAATCTCAAATGCTCGAGAGGCGACCGCGCTAAAGTTGTCGCCTTTCCGGAGAGCACATGGCGAAATAGGTAGTTTAATTTAACAATCCTCAGTTAGCGTAATTTCCACACTATGATTGCGGCCCGCCCGCGCGCGCTCGCGTTAGAAAACACAGTCGACGACCATGTAAATATATATAAAATTGAACATATATAAATAAGAAAAATTATATATTATATATACAATATATATATACATATACATATATATATATATATATATGTATATATATATATATATATATATATATTGATTTGTGTAAACAAAAGTCAACGCCCCGATGGCACGTTTTTCTCTCCCTGTAGGCACACAACGATCCCTCATTTCCCTAAGAATATCGTAAAGTGTAACTCGATAAGTTTGAGATTTTTAAATCAGGAATCGATGTAACGATCACTATTGTTAAGGATATTATATATATTTTTTGTAGAAACCAAAGACCATACACACACACAAACGCATACACGCACACGCATATTCGCGCAAGTAAATTTAAATGCACTTGCACACACGTCACATGCATACACATCCAACAGCACGCAGGCACGCATTGATCATATGTATGTACGTACACACATGAGCGCGAATCGTCGAACGAACAAGCGCAGTTGACTAAAAGCGTAATATCTTCGCAGTCTTTTCGGAGATTTCTTTTTTTTTTTTAATGACGCACAAAATCGCGAGCGACGTAGGATCGACGCAAAGCTTATTTGAAAACAAATTAAAATTATTATTTTCTCTAAATTCTTCCAATTAGCAACCGAGCGAAAGTCTTTATTAACACGGTTAAGACTTTCGTCACGCAATTACAATAAATCGAATAATCATTTGACAAGCGATCGAGAACTTTGACTTTTTATCGCGATCAAAGATCTTCAGTTTATCTTTTATTTTCTTTATTATTTCTCGTTATACAATTGAAAATACTTGTTTTCGAAGTAAATATGTTGGGGCGATGGCGATTTATATGCTAAGATATACCGACCACCGTTATACGAATACAATGTTCTTTATTATTCTCGTAATTAGCGCAAGTCGGCGCGTGGACACTTCCTCAACGGCCCGGCGATCACGCTCGTTCTCTCGTTCGGTTCGACGCCTTCACCGCGCTTCCGCTTTACGGCGGAAGTCGTACTGCTTTCCGCTGACCATCAGGCGGAACGCACCGCGGAAAATTATCATGAAGACGCAATTAGCGCCCGGCGTCGGAAATTTTTAATGAGAAATTAAGCTCGCGAGCGGTGCGCGAGTTCTCCGATTTAATAAACGCGCGTTAATCATTGACGCCTCGAAGGCACGCGCTGCCAATTTCATGCGTCTCGAATTTATCTGTACTCACGTTGCTGGAATAGATGTAGATCAAAAAGCAAAATTTATTTTACGACGATATATATATATATATATATGTACGTACTTAAATTCGACGATTTCTAGTCATTTATTCAAAAGAAACGCGCTATTGAATACAATAGAGAATTGTGTTAAAATAAATTACGAGCGATTACATCTCAATGCTAGGCGTCGATTCGAAGCGTGCTCGCAAAATGGAAATTATTATTGTCATTGAGTTCAGCTAGTTTAGGTTTTGTTGTACAAAAATCACAGAGTTTCGAATTCTCTTGCGCGATGTTCCGTCCGTGAGATTGTCTTTCGTTTAATAAAATTAGATAATATAATATTCATAGCGAAGATCGAACGCGCGTTTAATCCCCCGATTATGTCTATGTATTTTACACTTTTTAGCAACTTACAATACTTTTCATTCGACGTAGCGTAAAATTATAGAGTTGTAAATATATTCTCGAAATTGCTATTTCTTGCGAATGGCAAATATTGCGATATTACTTACAAAATGCAACAATAGCGGAAATAATAAATATAAAATCGAATCGGAAAAAAAGTGACAAATAACGTGTGAGAGATTGCTATAGATTTTTTTTTTCTTGCACTGCAAAGTTTTTTGGTTACAACTTTACCAGCTTTTAGCATTGGTGAATGTGATTCGGCAGAATTTTTCAGGAAAGTTCGAACATTCAGCGCGTGCGTGCACGAGATATTGTATATATATATTTACATGTTAATTGACCAAACACATCAGCTGGATCATTGGATCTGATGTTTGGTAAGATTATCTCGCGATTACAATCGATTATTGCGTACTTGATATAGGTACACAGTGTTATTTTATTATCATTATTATTATATTACTATTATTATTATTAATATTATTATTATTATCATAATGACGCTGATTATGAATTCTTATTCTATTTGCTATTTTCGCTATATGTTCATTATTTTAACACATTATTATTATATATTATTATTTTATTATATTATTATATATCGTCACTTTTATTATATTATTATTTAATGCCTTTATTATTTATTAATTATAATGAGATGACCTATGTGTAATAAGTTTTGCCAAAGAACCCGTTGAGAAAATACTACTGCAATACGTTTTATAAACCTCCAGTGGAGGAGAAAAAGTAGTCGATGAAGCACACAATTACAATGCGGAATTAAACGTGAAAAAACACGAAGAGAAAAAGCAATTACATACGCGTGGTATTCGAGCGAAACTGCAATCATCTATGTTGTGGATTCATGAATGTAAGATTTTGTGAACTCGAACACTGCGGCCGTACTACATTTTTAACCGAATACACGATTATCTCATTTCATTTTTATCATTTTTTTTTTGTCCCGTGTGATATTTTTGTTCTGTGCGCCGCTCTTGCCGAGTCTCGCTGTTGATACTTGCAAACAAAAAAACTCTGTACATCCTTTTTAAAATAAATATGAGGTTTATATATACTTATACTTAGATTTTCTATCCCTGTCTACTTTTACTTTTTTTTTTTTATCACTTTATGCTTTCTTACATGTTATACCTATACAAAAAGAAAAGGAGATATATTTAGATAAAATGTCATTTAATTTAGCTTGATGAAAAGTCGAAGTAGTTAAGGTAGATTAGATCAGTACGAAAAATTCATGTACCATCTTGCAAAATTTGCAATATTTATTAATTAATTTGTGCCAATAAGTGCGTGAGAAAAACGGGCTCCGCAAGCGTGCAAAATATAAAACTATATTTTCAAGTGTAAAAAAATGGCTTATGCTATCTCTTAGCAAGAGGCGGAGTAACACAGCGAGCAACGTATAACGACAGCTTCTCGCTATCAGCTGATATTGATTTATTGATTTTCAGAAAATCATGTGATTTTTTATCCACGCCTACAGAGTCCGGACTATCGCTTCCCACGCGATCAGTGGCTCACATTAATTAATTAATTAATAACGCAATAAATATATGGATTTCCGGGCCATTGCTTCTCACGCGCTGACTAGCTCTTTCGTTACTTAATCAATAACTTAATAAATATTGCAAAGTTTGCAAAATGATACTTTTTGGTTGAGATTGATTCAGTCTACACTTTGCCACTTTCACTTTGTCAAACAATTTCGGACATTCTGTACATCTAGTGTATATATGTAGATGCTTCTTGATATGCTAATTACAAAGCTAATTATGAGCATAGCACGGAACAGAACCAGATTTAACCGACTGAAAAGATATGTGTGGACATGGTTTTGTACTTCTAATATACACCACACGGGCGCTCGAAAACAGCGTAACAGCTAGCGGCCGTACCATCGTGGTCACTTTCACTATTGTACAACAGATTCCTACTTATGTCATGTCGTTGAAGTCGAGTAAAGCCTCTTGCACAATGGACGGAATAGCGATAGCGATAGAAATAACAAAAGTTTTAAAGAGTTTATATTTAAAAATAAAGGTAGGAACAGCGGAATCTAACATACAAAACTACACATGTATCAATGCAGACCAGAAAATCGGAATAAGCAATAGCGATAAAATTTCCGACGAGTTGGAATTCTGTGTTAAAAACTGTGTTATTTCTATCGCTATCGCTATTCCTTCCATTGTGCAAGGGGCTTAACCCGCTTAAGTCAAGTTTTCCCTATTCTTCTCCTTGAGCATTATTAGTTGAAATATTTATATACATCTATATTCATTGTCAAAAGTGCCACTAGCCTGAACTCTTAACAATTTCTTTCAAATATTCCGAAGTCTCAACCTTTTTTTATATCCTATATAAAAATGCACGTATACTTGACATGTAAATAAGGATTATGTTCATGCATAATCAGCTTGCGAGTGTGTGATAGTAAGGTGCCAGTAGGGAAGAAGACATTGGCAAATAATTATTCTTGTCATGAATGAATAACTCGACGTAAGCGGAAATTCTGCTGTACACCCAGTGCACCGCTTTCGAGCGCCAATGTGTGCTCAGGTGGTATCAATTGAAATTTATAGAGCCACATTGTTCACAAACCTTTCCAGTCGGAAACCTTACCGTTACATCTGGTTCTATTCCGTGCTGTGTCTATGATGTTTTTATAGCTATGTAATTATTTTAAAAAATGATTACTTACATATATATATATATATATAATTGTTAAATATATATTTATATAAATATTGTTTTAAATATCATTTACAAAATAGAGCTTTATTTACGTATTTTTTATATCAAATATATACGTATGTATCAAATGATCATTATCTTATAATTAACGAAGTCAGTTTCTTACATTCAAAATTGTACATTTTTCTTAAATTAAGTAGAGGATTGTATTGAATTTATATTTTATTTTTTGTAAACATAACTTTCCGCACCGCCACGTCCAAAACCTGCAAAATTCAAACAATGTTTATTTTTATTTTATTACAGATTTATTACGGATTTATTTTATTAGACTCTTTCGTACGAAAGGATAACTTCAAATTTGTGCGTGAAATAGCACAAAATGTGTATTTGTGACACGCGCGCGCAATAAAATGTGCACGGATAGAATAAGAGAAATATACATTAATTTAATATCTTAAATGCGCAAGATGACGATGTTCTGCAAAGGGTTTTGAATATGAAGCAGTTTTAAAGGAAACGAAGCACAGCGCGCGCTCGAGCCAAGACGAAAATTTCCATTTACCTCCTGGACCGAACAGAGCTGCATAGCAAGGGTGATTGCAATAGGGTTTTCCTTCATGCTCGGCATGACCTCCGGGTGTTAGGGTCTTATTGCATTTCTCGCAGCGTAAACACGAACCGTGCCAATCTTTGCCTAAGGATGTCTTCCTCTCGGCTGCAACACAAGATGAATGTTAACGCGCTCCGCGTGTAACGTAAAAGGCGCATCGCCGCCGCGACGAAACTATACACTCTCGCCCGCTTATATTAAATTTTACGTTTCTATAGTAATGCGATATTTGCACTATAACGCATCGCCTCCTACGTGCGTTTATTAAACGGAAAAATATGATCACCTACAAAGAGATAAACGCGGTGACATTTTAATAAAAATAGACAACAGCTGTGACACACATAAAACAAGATAAAATAACACCTGTGAGAGATCAATATACATTTCTAATCACTAAATAATTAAAATATTCAACAAAAAAATGGATTTCTTCACTGCTGTTATATCGGTCAGATATGTTAGGGGTATTCATTTCTTGTAAACCGAAGTAGGAGTATAAACCCCATGCGAATTGAGCATCTCGTTGGATCGGCGTAGGGTGATGAGAATAAAACCATTCCATTAGCAATTTCGTAATTAGAAAATCTGATGCTGAATTCCCGATGGAATCGATCCGCGCCTGTTTTTTCATTGAAAGCGTAAACGCAAAACGTTCTTTCAACACGCGCGACAAAGAACTTCGCACCAGATCGGATGAAAACAGGTTTCGAAAAAAAAAATCTTATAACTCTTCGCATCTCTCCGAGTAATATTATAGATATCCCCTTATTTCTCTCTGAATTCCCAGATGCATTTATAGAAATTTGCAGCATCAGAATATGCAAGCGAAGGAAAGACGCTTTTTTACTATCGAAAAAGCGACAAATAATCATTAAAATTACATTTTTTGTGAGTTTTAAAATGTTTTGTATGAGCTTTCTTAATATTATACAACACATTTTATGATATATAATGAAAATTGATGAGTTTTTTTTTTAATTGATTACTTTGAATCATTAATGATTAATTTAGAGTATTGACCAAATCAATACATTTGAAGATAAAATATCACATAAAAATTTTTCGCGTTCATGAAACAAATACGTTATTTATTATGTTACTCGTAATCAGGACATCATCCATTCAAGATAAGATTAACATGTTTAAGGTTCATTAACACATTGATGAAGATATTTAGAGATATATTTAAAAATACTTAACGCGATTTGCCAAATAATCATCTGTGACAAATTGTATGCAATTTTTGGTGCAGTTTTACGGTTTCTAACACTCATACTCGCGAATATACATAATATTCGTACGTGTATGGGAGCTACTTAACAAAAAGCTTCGCGAAAACCGCGAAGACTGATTTTCCTTTTCTTTTTCTTTTTCTCCGCTGCGTCGGTGCAGCGTATATCATGCCATTACGGCGTATCAAACCTCGCGGAGGAGACAAAAAAGAAGAGGCAAGAACCGCAGCGAACTGGTGGTTGTATTCAAACGCTCCGTCATATCTAAGAAGGAGTACAAAGGGCGGTGGCGCTAGTGAGGGAAATTGGAAAATGACGAGACGAACACAGTGGGTGCATTGGGGAAGAAAGGATGCATCAGTGAAAGCGAGATGCATCCGAGAATGAAAGATAGTAACGTATGAGGGAAGAGCAAAACGCCGGGACAAAATCAAGAGAGAAATAGAAATATAAAATGGAAAGAAAGAAGGGAGGAAGAGAGAGAGAGAAAGAGTGAGGGACAGACTTGGTATATTGTGAGTAAGAAGGATACATACATAAAGGACCATTAGTTAATTAACTCCTAATTATCTGACGACGCGCGCGGAAAAGCGAGTGCATAATCGTCAGCAGTATATTCGCCGCGCTGCGCAGCGCACCGGCAGAACGCGAAAAGATAGAAAGACAGTGCTGTGCGTACGGATCGTTGCGCCCAGGCACCAAACAATTGCCAGCCGCCGCTGATTGCATAGATCCTCAGAGCATCACCCTTCATTCTCCCCTCGGTCCTTACATCCCGTTCTTTTTTTCTCTCCCCTTTCTCGTCAGCAGAGACCGTCTCGCGCGTTTCTGCCACGGTCCTCACCACACCCGCCATCACGCGCTTGCCTCTTTTCAAACCATCGCCGTCCGCAACGATCACGCGTCTTCTATCTTCTTCCTGCAAGCCGCGCTGTTTCTTTCTAAGTGTCGAGAAAATCCATCGTATCTCTCGCATCTCTCCCAGTGCGATCTCTAACTCCCTCACAGCAGGAACAATGTGAGTTAGGCGGCAGGAAAGATAGTCTCTCTCTCTCTTTCTCTCCCCAGGATTCTTTCTACCTTTTCGTAACACGACATAACAGAAGACCCGGCTTCATTCTTCAGCAAACCTGTTTTACGTCTGTGTTGTTCTTATTAGTATCCGCGCGTGCGCGATACACCGGCCACGGATTTCTTTGTTGTTTGTCTTTGCGGCTGGACAGTTTATTCTTGTTGCTGCATTCGGCCCAACTCTCAGGATTTTCATTCATTCTGTTTTTGTTTTTTTTTTTTGTTTGTTTGTTTTCTTTCCCTCGCGTCACAAATAATTTTCAATCCTTTCTGTTTACATTTCTCTCTTCGAATATTACGGTAGTTTTCAACGCGAAGAAAAGCACAACTAACTCACGAATGTTTTTCTTTCAAGTTAAAGAATTGGAAAAATACTTACCACGCATGTTTATCTATGACTGAGTCTAGCTGTACGTATGATGCGCTTATTCATCAGTAGATAACGTTATCACAACATTTTGCTGATTTCTAAATTGCGGTGCAAGTTACAACGGTACAATACCAAAGCATAATTATATATGCGTTTAAAAGCATTACGGATTCGAGGTCGCTTCCTCGTTTTCAAGAATCATTGTCGATAACGGTCGTCCTATTTTGCAAAATATAAAATACTCAGATATAGCGCGTCGTTTTGAAATGTTATGCAGATATCATTTCTTGCTTAAACAATATATGCACTTGCGAATGTATATACATATATGTATAGACACACACACACGCACATACATATATGCATATATACATCATACTTATTTTTATACTTAAATCCGCAAAATTCTATGGCTTCTGTTTCGTCTCTACCGCGTAAATTTATTCTCCAGAAACTCCGAGACTGTGTGGATTACTCATTCACTTTGTATCCTCGTAGTAAATTCAAGTGTGAAACGGCTGACACATAAATGTTTGCTGCGAGATGGATCACGAAGGTCGCTCAGTGATATCACTATTGGTACCGTCACCGCGTTCACCATTTCAAGTATTTGTGTTCGTCTGATACTTTATATGTCTATGTCTCATTCCAGATTTCGATAATCTACACTTCCACAGATATTGTCGCGCAAACATGCACGCGCGCGTACACACATACATACACACAGTGCATTTTGTTATTTCACATTCCAGTAATCTAGGATATTACTTCTATTTTCTCGGAAGAACTAATACCTCAAATTTGATAAGAGATAGTTTTTAAGTTTTTGATAAAAAAAAGTTGAACACACACACACAGTACGCGTTCCACGTACTTAATCATTTCAAGTTGCCGTGTATCAAGCTACACACAAAGCTGGCGTTAAAGCTTACGAAGTTGTGATTATCACGTTACGTTTATCAATACGAGATACTCATTAATCTCTTCCTTCGCGCTGCGTCGTATATAAATATTCGACACGTAACATGTATAAGATGGAATTTAATATATTAAATATATATATGTATATGTAAATGTCAATAGATAAAACTCTTTAAATTGTCACTTTCCAATACTGAAAAAATAATAACTTAATTCAAGAGAGGAAAACTAATCTAAAACAATGTAAACTATTATTTTTCAAATAAAAGCTTCTTCGTGATCAAGATACTATTAAAAGCTTCTTTAGCATACTTTTGATGAGTTTCAAATTTTGACAGACAAGCACAAAATAATCGCAACAAGTTCGCGCAAAGAATACATATTTGTAGTTAAAGAAAAATTAGTTTTATACGTATAACTCACCAAAATTATACTAATATCTTGTCAATAACATTGCGATGATCATTTCGCTTACCGAAGTACACGGGCTTGTCACACTTTGGACAATTCGGCATATTTTAAATATTGTAACGGAAGCTCCTAACTCAACGAGACTATGTGTACAACCAACGGAAGGATGCTCTCGGCAACGTGGTCAGACGCGCACTGGCCCTGAGAGTCTGGCAAGGTAACGCAACGCTCGTCGGTTGATTGAGCGTGTGAATGTGTGTTAAAGCTAACGGCTGTACGGATACGTGTCGAGAGTACCTGGTCGTAACCGAGTGTGTTTAAGCATGGAACAAATGTTACCTGCTCTTCGTTATGCAACTCTACACGCAAGCATATTCATGCACGCTGTATGTCATATATGTGTATATACATATATATATAATCACACAGACAATATGTATACAAATATATAGTACTTTTTATTCATTTTTGTTAATTCTTCTTTTTCTCTTATTTAATTCTGTAAACAAAGATTGTATGTTCCGTATATGTCATGTTGTGAAAGAGTGTACAAAAATGCACGACGTATTTCTTAGAAAATTTGTGAAATAATACAATATCTGTGTACAATTTTACAGAACAACCTGCACAAACGTTGTTTACAGAATTAAATTTTTAAAACCGACATAAAATTAATAAAATGATTTAAAACTGCATAAAAATTAAATTTCAATATAGGAAAATGTCAAATATATCAAAAGACACTCTTGTACGCGAGAGTTCCTCCAAACTGATAACAAACCAGTTCAAGGTTGCGTTCATACGATGCGTTCATTACTTTCTTCGGACGCGTAAACCCGTTAGTTGTTGCGAACAAATTTGTTATCAAAAGAGCGCGACGCAACGCGCGCGAAGGTTCATAAGCATTCAGATCGATAGTTTGTTATGCGCGAATAACGGAACGATGCGTACCGAGGCATTGAACAGCGGAATGTACACGCTTCGAAGGTATTTATTCATAAAACTGCAACGCGCAATATCGATGAAATTAATTAATTATCGGAATTTGGGTCGGGGGGATGCTGCATCGTGCGCAGCGCCGCGTAGCCAGAGGGTGATGTGGAAAATGTGCTACCGTGAATTTTGCAATTTATTTTAACAGAATTACAAATATCTCCGGCCAAAAGTTATTCGTTACCGTAAAACTTCAACATTCACTATGATCTTTAGTTTTCGTAAAGTTACGTATACGCTCAACATAAAAGTGTCAAATTTTGATGTATTATAGGAACATAACCGCGCAAACACAAAATAACGGATCAGAAAACTTAAAAAAAAGATTATCTTACATCAAAATAAAGTCGCGACATTCTCCACCACATCCTTTACCACATCATTCCTTCGATATGATATCGTCTTTTTATGTGAATACTAACTTATACATGTTGGCAGTAGTCGTTCGCGGGATTTCATAAGATCGTGAATTGAATACTACTTTGTCACTAATAACGCGAAAACATTAATAATGCCGACAAGTGATACGGATTGTCTCGCATTCGTGGCGGCGATTGAGAGTGGCGAGTTTGACAAAGCAAATCAACTTTTGGCGCGAGACAACGAAAACAAGTTCATTCAGCCAGTAGGCGTTCTTGAAGTGACGGCTCTGCAAGTAGCTGCTTCGCAAGGAAACATTGATTTATTAAATCAGCTCATCAAAAAAGGTGCTAACGTAAATGGATTTGACAAAATCGGCAGAACTGCCCTTTACCATGCAGCACATTGCGGTCACGTCGATGTTATCAAACGACTTCTTGAATGTAAAGCAGAAATCAACACCCAAGTCGGAATCCATTCCTGTAGCAGACATATGCACTTGGAATCTACCTCAATTGGACAAAAAGTTCGTACGATTAACACTACAGCAAAAACCTAAAAACCGTTACAATTATGAAAAAAAAAACACTTTGTACTTTTTTTAACATTTTAGTTACCGTTACCCATGCGGAGAAGATCACCACTAAATCAAGCGGTAAGAAATAATCACGCTGACGTCGTGCGCATTTTAATCGAAAATGGTGCACGTGCTGACATTCGAGACCACCGTTTTACACCTCCGTTGCTACTGGCAGGAATCGCAGTAAATACTCGTGATGATCCGAATGAAATGAAGAAATTCTTCGAGATCGTCAAATTATTGGTATCCGCAGGAGCGGATATCAACGAAATTTATCAAGGAACAGGTATGATTCACACAAGCAACTATAGTTGCGTAATCAATATTAAAAAATTTTTTACGATGTTTCATCGCAAATTACTTGCTTTACCGCATATTTCTGAGTCACTAAAAGACAACCTTAGTTATGCCACATTAACATACACGTTATTTTCTATCCAAATATAATTACGACGTACTTTGCTAGGTACAACGGTGTTGCACCATGCAACGATGTATGGTAGTGTAGAAACGATTGAACTACTGGTGGCAAAAGGCGCACGGATATATCAGTGCAGCAAGTTTAGAAACACTCCGTTTCATATTGCAGCAAGAGCAGGAGACAGCAGGGCACTGTTGGCTTTATTGAATACAAAACAACCTTATTTCATCGACATGGGCGACCACGTAAATCATATCGAATTTTTTCTTTTGATATTATAGCAACAAGAAAATCTGCGACGGCTAAGGAATAGCGCATTTTCTCGTTTAGATGAACCGCACAGCTCTTCACAGAGCGGCTTTTCATGGTCATCGTAAGTGCGTACAAATACTGATTAATCACGGTGCTAACATAGCCGCGGCGATGAAAAACGGTATTACTGCGGCTAACGATATATTTACTCATATTCCGCGGCCTGTAGAATTTCTAATAGACATATTCGATTCCTCAGTACATCTAACTGACAAATCTTCGGAAAAATATGAAGATGCAAAAACCGGAGTATGTACAAGTGGAAATTTGTTTTTACTGTAAAGTTTTTTCAAGCAGAGACGCAGAGATAAATTTCTAGTAAAGAAATACAATATAAGTAAATAAAGTATCTTTTTGTTACAGATTGAACTTGACTTCAAAATATTGATCCCGGAATATCAAAAACATCAAATGGCAGTAGTTATGGCTATCATAGACGCAGCGTCGGGCATATCGCAATTAACAATATTACAGCACCCGCTCGTAGAAACATTTCTTAAATTAAAGTGGANAAGATTAAGGATATTTTTCTTCTTTNTGATGCTCATACATTTGTCTTTTGTTGTTTGTCTCTCAATCTTCGCCCTGATGTTTATAANCAATAACACTGTTGANATTTTGCCAATTCCAAGGATTCTCAATGTCTGTTCCTTGGTTCTTTTGATTCACAATTTGATACAACTGTTTATGGAACCTAAGTAAATAATTTGTCTATAATAGATACTTACTAAACTTTACGTATTTACTATGCAATACTTTACTTTCTATATTATACTATACTATCCTTTTTACTTTCACTTTTTATTTTTGAGATTANTACTTAGAACTTACTCGGAATATATTCTCGGAACATTACAGATATTATTTGAAACAAGTAGAAACGTGGTTGCCAATCATATGCGCACTTATATCACTCGCTACGGCGATAGGTAGCGAATTCGTAAACTGCAATAAGGAAGAAATTGGACGTAGACAATGCGCACATTGGATATTGCATCTTCTTTCCATCGCAGTTTTGCTCAGTTGGATACAAATAATGCTATTAATCGGTCGATTTCCGATGTGGGGATATTATGCGCTGATGTTCTCTACAGTGTTAAAAAACGTCATAAAGGTTAGCTGCAATAACTACCCAGTAAGATATAAAACTCGACGCGTTGTTGCATCTTCCTACGTTATTTCTTGGACTCAGTTATTACTTGTGTAATATTTGTTTAAAAAAAACCTTTTTTTTTGTTTCAGGTTATTTTGACATTTGGATGCTCGATTGTTGGGTTTGCACTCAGTTTTACCATCGCGTTTTACGGAAAAGACCAGTATGATACTTTTTGGAAAGCAATCGTGTCGACTGTGGTAATGATGACAGGCGAGTACGAGTACACGGATTTGTTTAATAGTACAAGCACAAAAGATACCGTTACTACAGAAGGTTTTCTACCGATAACAAGCAGGATTGTATTCTTTAGCTTTATCATACTTACCAGTATCATTCTGATCAATCTCATGACCGGTTTAGCAGTCAGCGACATTCAAGCTCTCGAGAAAGAGGTACAATATACACAATTTATATTCGGAAATAGTTTTCAAGTTGTACCTCGTACAGTGTTTTTAAATACAACAAACATTTTGCACTATCAATTCGTCTAATACTGGATTGATGTGCATTTAATTACACAATAATTAAATAACCGAAATAATTAATTAACGTTTTTATCCACAGGCTCATATACGTCGATTATTGAAACAAGCAGAATTTATTGCACATTTGGAAAGACTGACATCACACAGAATCTTTCACAAAAAGTGGATACATCCTCGTATAAGATTATTAATACATTTGAGGCGCGATATTTCCAGAAAGATGATAGTGTCCCGTCGTTCAAATTATTTGGTTTTTAAGGAACGGTATTCTAAGATACCCACCCATTTAATAGAAGCTTTATATTTGCTAGCTATCAAGACATCTCGCAAAAGGTAAATATTATAATATGTAAATGTGGCAGAAAATACATTCGGAAATTGTAGAAAATACGTGCATACAATTTAAATGTATAATTTTCAGTTCAGAGGAAAGTTTGAAATCTGATGACAAAATGTTTGTTTCTATGATAAAAGAAATTATATCTAATGTAGTAGAAGAAATACAGAAAAAGAAAACACATTGTAATTCCAAAGAGATTACTAAAATCGAAAATCCTTATTCTGCTATGTTTTCAGAAGAAATAGGCAAGACTATGACGCTGTAAATACTTGATGTATCGCACACATTGTATGCAATTATTCTATACCGAATAATGTTATATTAACACTTTGATGACGCAGTTTTTGCGCTGCTTACAGACCAGCCCACCTTCTGCACGGCGTGCGTTTTTCGCCACGAAATGTCTCTGCTTCTCGTCCGCTCACGCTTGCCTTTTCACATGGTTCAATCGGTCCCCTACCTAAGGCAATACGGTCGCGGAGACCATCTAACCTCAAGTGTTTTTATGAGTATCAGATGGAGACGGAAACTGCGATAGCGCTGAAATATAGGCTGAAGAAAAGACGCATTAATAGGTTAACCACGCGTACACATTCGCCTGAAAGGGACACAAATTTCAGTTCAGAGGAAAGTTTGGAATCTGATGATTTCAGAGACAGATTCAGAGACGCATTTCTACTTTTTTTCTTTAAAAGTTATACTAAGTTTAAGAATAATATTTAAAAAATAAAACAAAGATCAAGAAAATATTATTGTACTTTGTTTTAAAAATATAAAAAATTTTCAAAAATGTAAAATTGATTCTATTTTTACTTTCACCGAGAATGGCAAACCGCAGTGTCCAATTTGTTCTAAAATTTTATCACGCGCAGAAACATTTTATGTAAAAAGACATTATAATCTTTGTCATAAAAAACAATTACAAAAATTACGATAATTGTACAAAATCAGAAGAGTATTACAAGAATTAAAATTTAAACATGCAAATTACTCTAAAAAAAAGTCTTTACAAAAGAAAAAA